ACAATATGATAATTCATTTGATTGTGGTTTGTTCTTACTCCATTATTTGGAGCTCTTTTTAGCTGAAGTTCAATCCATTAATAATAACCAAGTTCTTTGTTTGTAACTGATCTGTGTAGTTTGTTTTGATTCATAACACAATTGATGCTTAAGTTTGTAATCCCAGGATCTTTGCTTGGATTTCAGGATTTTGATCAGCAATCGTAATGTTAGAGCATGAATGGAGCTATATCACCAAGAGAGGTAGTAGATTTCGTTCCATTAATTTTGTAATATCATTTGTTCAGCCCAATACGATAGACAAACGAGAAATACTTCTATTACGGCGATTGAGGACTAGAGGGGCTTTGCCCTTGTGTGGTATTCAATGTTCTAAGTTGTCTTGATAAAGCTTTCATGCTTGTCTCCTTTGAAGAAAAACAAGAACAATCCTGGTGCAGTATCGAATCGTTAGACGTGGATCCCGAAATGATCGAGGAGTAGTAAGATAATTCAGTCGCATGAATTACGTTGCGTTATAGATACAAATGTATATGCATTGGGAAACTGTTAGTATCATTTTTAGTTGATTTTTATTTATTGGTGAAAAGCCTTCAAAATTTAGTACTATGCATGTTTCTTATTACTTTGCTCTTTCAGCCGATTAAACAACGATCAGATCTCTGGTCTCCCTTGCCAAATCAAGGATGGAAGCCTTGCATCGACTCTGCTGATAACCCCCCATGTTAGTGCTTGAAGATTTATATAATGAGATCCTTGGATATCATTAAGTATGAACGAGATGATATTTTTTTAACTAATAAGCTTGTTTTCATTTCTTGAAGCATTGCCAGAGAGATCTGAGGGTTATATTCAGGTATTTCTTGATGGAGGATTGAACCAGCAAAGAATGGGGGTGAGTTCATGGATAGCTGATGCATGTTTTTTGCAGTTTGGTTTTAATGCGCTAACTTTCGACTTGTTTTACTTATTGTTAACAAGATATGCGATGCAGTTGCTGTAGCTCAAATATTGAATGCGACACTGGTGATACCACACCTTGAGGTGAATTCTGTTTGGCAAGATTCAAGGTATTTCATGAGTAACATATACAATTTGTCATAGTTTTCTCTCTCTCTCTCTCTCTCTCTCTTAATCTGAGGAGATTTGGGTTTGCTTCTGCAGTTCATTCACAGATACATTTGATATGGATCACTTTAGCAATGTCCTTCGTGATGAAGTTTCTATAGTTAAAGAACTCCCAAGGCAATATTCTTGGAGCACACGGGAATATTATGCTACAGGTATAAGAGCTACTAGAATCAAAACAGCAACTGTTCATGCTTCGGCAGACTGGTATGTCGAAAATATGTTGCCTGTCATACAGAGGTAAAGCTTTAAGCTACGGATACAACTTTCTTTGGTAAATTAGTACCATTTTCAGCCCTTATGCTAGATAACCACTTGGTGAACAATAGCTGTAGAAATCTGTATGTGTGTGTACGATTCAACTAGAAAACAATATTGTTTGTGATAGTTTATAGACTTTATGGGTGCAGTTACGGGATTGCTGCTATATCACCATTCTTCCATCGCCTAGCATTTGACAAGTTGCCTATAAAAATTCAACATTTATGTTGTAAAGTAAACTTCTAAGGTCTAGTTTTTGTTCCTCAGATCAGATTTATAGGAGAGAGCCTTGTTCATCGACTCCGGTATCCTTCTGGGAAGCTTCAAGACTTGGGCAGTGAGGTCCTACGTGACAGAATAAATGATACTCCAAAAGAGGGAGCCAGAAAGTTTGTTGTATTACATCTTTGCTTCGACAAAGTATGAATCCCAACTCCTTTAGATAATTGCGTAAGCCTCTTAGGTTAAAACTAAAAGATGATGCTCAGTTCTTTCGTAACTGGAAAGAATGAATTCTCATTAAATAGTTTCTGGGGATTGGTCATTGGAGTGGGCATTTAAGTTGGTAGGATATATCTGCTATCAAAGCATTTGTACCTCTATATTTTGAGTGCTCTTTTACGGTAGTTTCTGGGTAAAAGCACCAGTCAGTTGTTTACAATAGTGGTTACTGACTCGTTTGATGACTGTTGAGTCGGTTATATTGATTTTTATCCAAATATATACATACATATATATGCGCATATGCTGTAGCAACCGTAATTACCTTTCTAATTAGACTTTTTGTAGGATATGGCTGCTCATTCAGCTTGTGATTTTGGTGGAGGTAAAGCTGAGAAACTGGCCTTAGCTAAGTACCGCCAAGTTTTATGGCAGGGAAGGGTCTTAAACTCTCAATTCACTGACAACGAGTTGAGAAATCAGGGGCGATGCCCCATTGACTCCAGAGGAGATTGGGTTGCTACTAACTGCTTTGGGCTTCAACAATAATACTCGCCTCTATCTTGCTTCACACAAAGTCCGTCTCGTTTTCTTTCTTCTTGCTTGATGGTGGACTTAGTTTATTATCCTCTTAGCTTGGTACATAGGAGTCAATTTGATCCGTCATATTTACTAGGTTAATTTTGAAAATGTCTGTTTTGAGTGGAACTCTGGTTTAAAAGGAGCATCTTTTCCTTTTTCAGGTTTATGGAGGAGAGGCTCGGATCTCAACATTGTGCAAAATGTTTCTGCTCATGGAAGATAAGAAGAGCCTTGCTTCAGCAAAGGAGCTAGCTAAAGTTGAAGGTAAAGCTTCTTTGATGGCTACAGTTGATTATTATGTGAGCCTTCAAAGTGACATCTTCATCTCTGCTTCTCCTGGAAACATGCACAATGCTTTGGTAAGGATGCCCTTGCCAAATTTCCGCTTTCATCATTTCTTTTTGTATCAAATTCACTATATCCTACATAAAAGAAATTTCATAAATGAGAATTCATATTTATCTGTTTACATCTTGGACATCGAGCTTACTTGAACTTGAAGACCAAACATGTTGCTGCTGGGCCCTCTATACATACATATCCAGCCCCCGATTGCATGTGTAGAGCCTAACTTTTTTTCAGTTCACTGTTTTTTTTTTCTTTCACTTCAATTACCTTCGAGATGTCTTAGCATCTTTTCTCGCGTTGCCTATAACGTTCGACCACATTGGATTCGCTATGATAATCTATTAAGAAAAGTCAGGCTGGCTTGAAAAGAAAAAGCTGTTAACCGTTATGTTTGAGTGTGCAACTAAAATAATCTCCGAACCAAAAATCGAGCCGCCACTCAGGTTTTAAATAAAACTGGCTTCCAAATGTATTTGTTTTTTTAATATAGGCCAGTTGGAAAAGTCTGATACAATATTTTCGGTTAGTAATCGAAAATGTTATATCATTTACAATATTTTCGGTTCAACGGAAAATATTAGGAAAAAAATTAACATTTTAAGTTTATTACGTAACATTTACAATATTTTCGGTTCAACGGAAAATATTAGGAAAAAAATTAACATTTTAAGTTTATTACGTTTTTGGTTATATCTATTTTATACTGTTCTTTAACGTTAAATTATGTTGTCGTATGTCAGAATTACCCAAACCAGTTTGCTATTTACTTTTGATTTGCCAAGTAGACTACGATTTTAGTGGTGTGTTTTGATTAAGTACTAAGCGAAAATTATTACCAATACCAATGATGAAATCTCTTAGGTCTCTCTTAGTTACAAAATTAGGCAGCTTGGTATGTTTCAATTTCAGATAATGATGAGAATTTAGTCCATGTCAATTGTGAAAGTGAATAATTAAAGACATTAATCATGACATCAATATGTATTTTTAATTTTTATATAATTTTAATTGATTAAAAATAAATACAACTTTCGATGTTATATCTTAATTTTATTTTTTTAAATCTAATCCCTAACATTTATTGAATGGATAAATCAGAGATGAAATTGACATACGACATAAATATTGAAAGATAAACTTATTATTATAATCAAAATTATTTAAAAAAGTAATAAAAATATTAAAATTAGAATTAATTATCCTTAATTATTCATGTTTGAAATTGATAGGACTAAAATGACTTATTTTTGTTAGAATAATTAATTTATCAGATTTTTAAAATTAAAGGAAAACGCAGAACAGATTTTAAACAAAAAGAAAAAATATTAATCCATCTTCCCCAAGCAAGCATTAAGAAAGACTATATTTATTTCTCAAAACCTTTTTGCTTAAATATGAAAGAAAAATTAATTAAGAAGATTGTCAACTAATCATTACTTTAATGAAAAATAACTTATGTTATTAAATTCAAATGTACATTTGCATTTACAAAAACTAAAAGGCAAGGTAAAGCACCACCTTAAGGTCAACTGCCAAATATTAAGCCAATCCCTCTGTCTGCATGAACCCACTTTCAAGACGTTGCCTCCGTAACCTTTATAAAAACAATCACGTGAATGTCACGTGACTCGCCCATCTCTCTCTCCAAACAATTTGAATTCGGACCTGACCGCCTTTTCTCAAATCCAGTTTAATTGTTTAAATGCTTAAAAACTTTGCCTCGACCATTCAAATTTCCGCAGTCCCTTCTGCTTTTTCTCTTCCGAATTCAAATTTTAACGTCTAACAAATCAAAACCTAAAAGGAGATATCTCAATCTCTTTCAGGTAATGGATTCACCTTTCAAATTAATATTTTCCATTCATGTTTTTATACATTTGAGGTATAATATCCTCGGCTCACGGATTTTAGATCTGATGTGTTGATTTTGAGTGATTCAAAGGATGTTTTATTAGTTTATTCGCAATCTTTCCTTTAAGGTTTTCGAGATATTGTTTTCAGATTTAGATCGCATGGATAATTCGGAATCCGTGAGAGTCGCCGTTAATATTCGGCCGCTGATTACTACAGAGCTTCCTAACGGATGTACGGATTGCATCACTGTCGTTCCAGGCGAACCTCAGGTATTCTGCAGCACTTTCCTCGTGAATATTGTGAATTTGAGAAGATTACTGATGTTGAAATCTTAGCTTGATAAAGATTTATTTTATTGATACAATTACAGGTTCAAATTGGATCACATGTCTTTACCTATGATTATGTTTACGGGGGAGCGGGATCGCCTTCTTCAGCTTTATACGATGATTGCGTTGCTCCACTGGTTGATGCTCTTTTTCATGGTTACAATGCTACTGTACTCGCATACGGTCAGGTTAGATTTGTTTTTGTGCTTTATTATTATAGTTAGATTTATTTTCTCCTAATTGACTAACAAATAGTATTGTATTTCGGGGGTTTTCAGACGGGTTCTGGTAAAACATATACTATGGGAACTAACTACACTGGGGAAGGAAGTAATGGTGGGATTATACCCAAAGTAATGAAAAATATGTTTAAACGAGTGGAGGCAACCAAGCACTGCACGGAAATTTTGATAAGAGTATCATTTATTGAGGTAATTGGCTAAAACAATCCTTCTACTTGTTTTTCTCATTGACCTGTTAATTTCTTATACGTGATCTTTCAATTTGACAGATATTTAACGAAGAAGTATTTGATTTGCTTGAGTCAAATTCAGCTGCCTTATCTAAAGTTGAAGCCACATCTCTTGCCAAGCAAACAGCTCCTGGAAGACTTCCGATACAAATTAGGGAAACAGTGAATGGAGGAATAACCCTTGCTGGAGTGACTGAGGCAGCAGTTCGGACAAAAGAAGAGATGGCATCATATTTGTCACGAGGTTCTTCGTCTCGTGCAACAGGAAGTACGAATATGAATAGCCAATCCAGGTAACGCTTGTCTTGTTTACCCGAATTGGTCTTCTGTTTTATTTAGAATAAAATGCTCATTTGGCATGATAGCAATTTTCTTTTTTAAATAATGAAAGATATAAACAAGTTCTACAATTGACGTTTATCTTGCTTTACTTCAATTCTTGGATAAGATATGATTATTTTGTTTACATGTTTTACTAATCGTTTATAATTTTTCCTTTTAGGATAATGAAAGAGATAAGCAACTTCTGCAATAGTCTTTCTCTTGCTTTACTTAATTCTTGGATTAGGATAGAATGATTATTTTGTTTACATGTTCTAATACACCTAGTAATTCTATTATACTTTTATATAATTTTGCTCACGCCATGTTCATTGTTCTTTTTGTTTCTAGTCGCTCACATGCCATCTTTACGATAACCATGGAACAAAAGAAGATTGTAAGCTGCCCCAATGGGGTAGATGATGATATTGGTGGTGATATCTTATGTGCAAAGCTTCATTTAGTGGACCTTGCTGGCTCAGAACGTGCAAAAAGAACAGGTGCTGATGGCATGCGCTTTAAAGAAGGTATTTCTGATTTTCCATTTCCTAACATGGTTTAAAATAATGATAGGTTGTAATAGCAAGCATTGACTTGAAACTTTGTGCTTTAAGCTATCTAAAACATTGACATTTTGTTGCTGTAGGCATTCATATTAATAAAGGTTTATTAGCTCTAGGAAATGTCATTAGTGCTTTGGGAGATGACAGGAAGAGGAAGGAAGGGGGACATGTCCCGTATCGCGATAGCAAGTTGACGCGCTTGTTGCAGACATGTTTTGATTGTTGTTCTGATTTCATAAATTTCTTTCAAATAGTAATAAATCAGGATACTTATGTACAATCATTCAAATCTAGTTGTTTTAATTGGATGGTTTCACTTGTTGAAGTAGACTTTTTGTTTGGAAAAGTTAAACTGCATAAATCAATTGGAAATGAGCTCATTCTACTTAACGCACATTTTATAAATTAACAATTGATAACATCAATTGCAAGAAAATAGGTGTTTCTTACATTGACCTAAAGGGGAACACATTCAGTTTTCATCTTTAAGGCTCTTGGCTGTGGTGATATATGAATTTGTTGTAGTTCTTTTTTATGGGAACTAATTTTGCTCTGTGTGTGTGTGTGTGTCTGTGCATGTGCATGTGCATGTGCGTGCGCGTGCACGTGTGTGTAATGTATATATACGTCATCCTATGAAACTACCTACTCCAGAAAGAAATTTTACATTTGCTGACGGAAAGTTAAATTCACAGGATTCTCTTGGAGGAAACAGCAAAACAGTGATGATTGGTATGAAATAAAATGTTTTAGAGCATTAAATATTCAGCATTGTTGGCATATTATTATGTACTGGGTTTTTTCTTTGAATTGCTTTAGCATGCGTAAGAATTATTTCTTTATATATTTGATTGTAGCTTGTGTAAGTCCGGCTGACACCAACGCCGAAGAAACCCTAAACACCTTGAAGTATGCCAATCGTGCTAGAAACATTCAGAATAAGGCAGTTGTAAGATACTCGAGTTACATGCTTGCAAAAAGCTCTTTTATCGGTGTTATAGCTCTTGTTCTAACTTTCTCATCACTTATATTAGATAAACCGTGACCCAATGGCAGCTCAGTTACAAAGAATGCGGAGCCAAATTGAGCAATTGCAAGCTGAGCTTTTGTTTTGTCGAGGTGATGGTCAAGCATCATTTGATGAACTTAAGGTTATATAATATAGAAATTGAAAATACTTCTTTTGACATTCTTCACACCTAGTTGCCGAAAGTATGTTTTTTGGTTTGTAGATTCTCAAGCACAAAGTAACTTTACTTGAAGCAAGCAACGCAGAGCTACAGCAAGAGCTTCAAGAACGCAGGCTCACTAGTGAACAATTGGCCCAGCGTGCCCTTGATGCTCAGGTGTTTTTCCACTTTCCTTTTGTCTTCAAATATATACTGGCCAAAGGCGCTATGAAATATAATGCATTTAATATCTCAGGTTGAGAAAGACAAACTAATCATGCAAATTGAATCTGTCCGTAATGGGAAATCATGGGATGAGATTGCCTCTAACCAAAATCAGGTAAAGATTTTTGTCTAGCTATTGAATCTAGTAGTCGACGAATCCAATCTTGGTTGAGATGCGCTTTTGCATGACCACAGGATTTTGATTTGATGAAAACTTATGTGTCGAAAATTCAAGAGTTAGAAGGAGAATTGGTACGCTTGAAAAGTATGAACAGCACGAAGTGTGGCCGGTTTTCTGATTGTGTTGATTCTGGTGATGATGGAACCTCAAAAAATTCATTGTTTTCTTCTGAAAGTGCTGATTTATCAGGTATTTTGCAGTTAAATATTCATTATTTCGTTGATGCATACTCTTTTTGTTTGTTATAACTTCTATATTTGTTCATTATAAAATGTCCTAATTGTTATTATATTTTTGAAAAGTAAATAAGTAGAACTATCACCCTCCAAAGTTATACGTGCTTTCTTCCTTATCATTTTCTTCTCAATTGTAAACCTCATATAGAAGTTATAATTGAATTGCACTTGAAACACGTCTATGTTAATCCCTGGAATGTGATATTTTTATCAATTTCATATATATCTGATTACTGTAAGTGTAAGAAGTCTCGTTGATGATTTTGAATCATCGACATTCTAGTGGTTATTAGGTGCATATTTAGTTGGAGAATGTAATCTCTGAGACAAGACATTATCATTTAAGCCTTTGACATTTATATCATTTCCTTTCTATTGCTTTTCAAATCTATTTCCATCTTTGGATGATAAGCCTGCCTTAGAGAATGCAGATAAGAATAATTCTTCCGTATTTTGCAGATGAGATTGAGGATAATGAAGTTAATGAAGCGGAACTTGAACACTCTTCTATCCAACAAAAATTGGACAGAGAACTTAAGGAGTTGGAAAAAAGACTTGAACAGAAAGAGGTATGCGTTATTGAAGCATGTGATAACTAAATTTGTTGTTGGGTTGGCCAGTTTGTTGACCAAGTTGTTATACCGTTTTAACAACCCTTTTGCCCACTGGATAAACAAACTGAATGAGATTGTCAGTTTGTTGATTCTCTTGGGCTATATTAAACCCATTGAAGGGGACGACCACTAGTTTGTTTTTAGCGTACATTTGTTAAATCATTTTCCTCTCTTCTTTTCTGTAAATTGTTTGACGGTTTTTCCCGTTGAACTAAGTACATGCATGTTTAGCATTTGTGATGAATCTGAAGATCATTGATCTCCGTTCAACGCGTTGCGTTTCTTTTTCATTTTGCATTATTGATACTGGTACATGGGCATATTCAAGAATATTTTTCACTGAAACATTCAGATCATTTTTTTTTCCTTTGCATCCTTTGTGGAGGCAAAAACATCAGTTGTTTTCCTAACAGCTTTTTATTTCTTTAAGGCTGAAATGAAGCGTTTTGCAAATTCTGACACTTCAGTTCTTAAACAACATTATGAGAAGAAAGTTAATGAGTTGGAACACGAGAAAAGGGCTTTGCAGGTTAGTCTCCTATTTAAAGTTATTGTGTTTTCTGTGATTACCGTTATCCTGTAATGTCAAATCCTTGTTTTTATTTTTCATTTGCAGAAAGAAATTGAGAACCTCAGACATAACCTTGCCAATATTTCTTCTACGTCAGATGACGGTGCTCAAAAGTTGAAGGAAGAATACCTACAGAAATTGAATGCCCTTGAGGCACAAGTGAGTTTTGGATTTTCCTTCTCCTGCCAGCCGCAGATGTCAGTTTCTAGATTAATATTCTGCTTTGCAGGTTGCCGATTTGAAGAAGAAGCAAGATGCTCAAGCTCAACTTTTGAGACTGAAACAAAAAAGTAATGAAGCAGCAAGGAGACTTCAAGATGAGATTCACAGAATCAAATCTCAGAAGGTGAATCTTCAGGTACTTACAAACGTGATATTACAATTTGCATCTTTTGTAAGCAATGTAATACAACTTGCATGTTTGATTCATGGTTTTGTCATGGGATGTATGTTTGTTGTTTGTAAGCAATGTCACAAAATTCAGGCAAATTTTAATTCGTGGTTTTTTTAGTAATAGATATTTGTTATTGGCTGCAACTCTTTAAGCGATATACTTTTGGCAGCTAGAATCATTTGATAATTAAAAAATGTGATGTTTTCTTGTGATTATGGAATCATAGTTTGAAATTAAAAATGATTGCATCACTCAGCTTGCCCAAGTGGTATTGGTGGGATGAGCTGTAGAGATCTTAAGTTTGAGCTGTAGTGCTTCTCTCACGTAAAAATAGATCTATTAACAATAGCTGCTTTAGAATGTTAGAGGGAATAAATTGTTACTTGTTCTCAAGATTTACAGTCGGCACTAAGTAGAAATTTTGTGTTGATACGTTTTTGAAGAAAGAAATTTGAATGTGAATAGTATGTGATTCCTTCATAAAATTCTGGGAGTTCTATAGTGTATATAATCAAGCAACACTTCTTTTTATCAATATATAATTATTGTTTCTTTTTCTTGATAACTAGCTTAAGAAAGAGGGAAGGAGAAATGAGTTTGAGATGCACAAGCTCTTAGCCTTGAACCAAAGGCAAAAGATGGTAACATTTACTTCCTCGCAGAAAGCTATTGATCTTTCTAATTCCAACGCAGAAAGCTATTGATCTTTCTAATTCCAATGAACTTTTCTCACACTATGCATATGTCTGTTAGGTTTTGCAAAGAAAGACCGAAGAGGCTGCTATGGCTACTAAAAGGCTAAAGGAGCTTCTTGAATCTCGAAAGGCTTCCTCACGTGAAGCTTCCAGTTAGGAGCCTTTTTATGACTTGCAGTTTATTTTTGTATTTTTGTAACTATAACTCGATGACAATATATTTTTCATGTGCAGGTGCTGGAATTGGCAATGGTCCTGGAGTTCAGGTATTGATAACTGCAAAAAGAATTAATAGTTTGTTCCTAATTGCTTAGACAAATTAGTTTTGGTTTAAAATTATCTTCATCATGATTGGGTTATATATTTTTTTCCTTTTTATGCATGTTCTTAAGCTACTCTTTTTGTTGTAACATTCTTTTCTTCTTTTGAAGGCAATAATGCAGACAATTGATCATGAATTGGAGGTGACAGTACGGGTACATGAAGTACGCTCTGAATATGAACGACAAATGGAGGAGTGAGTTCTCTTGATGGCAGGCAAAGTTTGTTTCAATTATGGAATTTTGGTACATAAGATTCTGAGTAGGAAGTGGAGGCTTACTTATGGTACGCTTACTATATATTGTTGAATATATTAAAAAATATTCTGTATGTATTATAGGAGGGCCAAGATGGCCAAGGAGGTTGCAAGACTGAAGGAAGAATCTGAGATACTTAAGCGTGGTGATTTAAGGTTGAGCTTTTGCTTTCGTATGTGTTCTTCATAATTTGAAACAGCTCTTTTTTCTACGTATTATCATGTAAACCAATAAATCAAATACTTCCTTTAATGTCATCAAATGCAGAAATTATCCTGAGACATTGTCTCCCGGTGCGAGAAACTCGAGGATTTTTGCTCTAGAAAACATGCTTGCTGCTACATCTAGCACTCTGGTCACTATGGCCTCACAGCTGTCTGAAGCTGAAGAGCGCGAGCGTATTTTTAGTGGAAAAGGACGTTGGAATCATGTCCGGTCTCTCGCTGATGCAAAAAATATTATTAATTACCTATTCAATTTAGCATCGATCTCAAGGTAATGCATCTTTGGAAATAGAAAATTCGCATGCTAATAGTTCCATTTTCATTTTTCAACATAATTTGTTGCTGCAATCTTTTGCTTTTGTTACCATGGTTGTTAACCACCATGGATCTTGCTTTTTATTTCCTTCAATTAATAACTTGCTGCCCCTTTTTTGAAGGTGTTCATTGCGAGATAAGGAGGCTCTTTGCAGAGAAAAGGATGAGGAAATAAGAGATCTAAAGGAAAAGGTAGTGAAAGTTAGTAGCTTGGCTCGACAACTTGAGGCACAAAAGGTCGATCTTGTTCATCAACTGAAAGTGAAGGTTAGTAACTTTCCACTGGTATTGGATCTAACTTCGATGAGAAGGTATCACTTGATACATGTCTGTTGACTATTATCAGTTCTCTGTTCCATTTTCTCTTTTGAATCTATTTATTAATCTTGCAACAGAATGTAACCGCTAAGCATTCCATGAAAGAAACGATGGAATCTGGCATCCTTGACTTTAATGGCGGAAGACATAAGTATGAACTGCGGAATACAGTAAATTCCACTCCCCTGCTTTTAACTTCTATTGCCATCTACTTGTTACATAAAATAGAACTATTGTTATAGGAACATCGAAGCTCTACGATCTTTACGGAGGACATGGATATATCTGAATCTGAACATTCAGATATGGAGGCACATGATGATGACAATGATGATGAATGGGTGCAGTCAGACAAAAAGCAGATATGGAACAAAGTTTATAGATCTAGAACTTCGATTTTGGCAGTGCATCAACCAGATACCAATGTCTTAGAAAACAAGGAATGTAGTGTTGAGGTTACTGAGAAAATTGATGGGATGTGTTGCACTTGCAGTAAGCAGTCTTCTTGCAAAACATCGAGATGCCAATGTAGAGAAAATGGAAGTTCCTGTGGGCAGTCATGCGGGTGCTCTTCAGTCAGGTGTTCCAATAGAGAAGCAGAAGCAAACGTTGCAAATGATGGCGACTCTAACGAAACCAACAACCTTGTTGCTCATGGTGCATTTCTTCTCCAGAATGCATTTTGTGGTGAGAAGCCAGCTGAAACAAATGACGACTGCCCAACAAAGCGAAAAGCACTCTCTGACATTGGAAACACAGTGGTACCATTTCTGGTCTCTTGTATGATAAAAACCACCTCATGTTTCTTAAATTATCCATGTCTAACATATACAGACACTCAAATCTAAGTAACATGATCATTTAGCATAATCATGTATTGTTAGTGAGCTTGATTGTTTTTTGGCAGGCTAAACCGGATGCACCAAGGCATAATAGGAGAAAGAAATGGGGAAAATCAATGATTCAGCTGGTTCCGGTTGCTACGCCAGATAATGCAGCAGCTGCAGCACCTGAAAAGCCAGAAACTCGTGAACCTCTCAAAATTGCAGATAACTTGTGCCCAAGTGAATCTGATACCATCCCTTTGAAGTTACCAAGAGCAATGAGATCAAATGGAAGTAAATTACTGAGAGAAAGAAATGTTGATCAACAGGATGAATCCAACAAGGAGGCAGCTGCCCTTGCCCCAACAAGTTCAGAAGAGAAAGAGAACCGCCACTGTTAATTGGTAAAGTTGCCATTAAATTGGTACCTTTTTCACTACATTGTCACTAACAAGCTTGCATCCATCTTCATTTATTATTATTATTTTATCTTTGAATTCTTTGGTTGTGTACAAGAGAGGATCCAACGTGAAAATTTCGAATCCTTGACAAGTGTCGAGGGATTTGACGTTGTTTAACAGTTAAGAAGACGGATGCATTTTATTGGGCTGTGTACTTCATTGCTGAGGAGTAATTGATATGCAAATCTTAAACCTTGATTTGCGGAATAACGTTCAGCCATCAAAATGCTTGATGCACTTCTTTCCGGATAAAAACGTTTCTGGTGGGAATAGAAAGGCAAACAGCTTGATTGGAACATTTTTTCTCTTTTTATTCTCATTAATTCCTGCTTTCTTTATATAATAAAAAAAACAATGCCAACAAAACTTGCATTTTCAGGTTTCAACCTCGTAACTTATGTAAGCATACTTGAAAACTCAACCATGTAAGCATCCAGTTTTATTTTACAAATTTATTTCAGTACAAACACTAGAATTACAAATCCAAAATATAACCTACAATTTCACATCCTCTGCAACTAGCTGCCACACTGTTCCCCTATTGCAACTTTAAATCAAAGAGCAAGTCCAAAAATAAATGATCCTTCTATTCGAGAGTATTATTCAAGTTTAAAATAGAAAACAAAGTAGTAGATTAAACATCTTGCAGTTGAAGCCTCTTCTTACAATATGAAGAAAACCAGTTTAACTTTCTGCTATCACTGTCAAACCTGGGTTTACTCAAATGTGCTGGTCAAACAAAGATCGATGAAAATAAATTCATCACCATATTTGGTCTATGGATAAAATGAAAATGGGCAGCCATCACCACACATCTCTAAGATATCGTCCTTCCATTTGGAGTTTCTTTACCATAGACTCTGCCTTTGATGAATCCACGCTTTCCTGAAATTTGTAGACAGTTTTTGGAAATTTATGAATGGGTGCCGAATTTAATTATAAAAAGACAAATTCTCAGGATGCTGTGACTCTGAAACAGTTTGATTGTCATTACACGAATTCTTGAAAACCATAATAAAAGTTAAAAGAGTTTCTTGCAAGATAAGGAAATAGAATGAAACAATGACCAATACCTGCTCCTGAATAATAGTGTGCAAAGTGCGATGAACATCTCTTGCCATGCCCTTGGCATCACCACATACATAAAGATATCCACCCTTTGATATTAGGTTCCATATATGTGCTGCCTGTCAATCAAAAAGCAACATATGTTACAATACATCACTTTTATATCACTGAGCAGAATTTCTGATCCTCCAACTACTAGTACTTACTTTATCCATCATTTTATGTTGAACATATTCCTTTTGTGGCCCTTCTCTAGAGAATGCAACAATAAGCTCAGATACGGCACCTTGATCAACAAAGTTATTGAGCTCATCCTCATAAATGAAATCCTACAAAAGTTACCAACAAAGTAATAAATAGATTCCTAAATACAAATATCTAACAGTGAAAACCAGTTACAATAAGACATGCTGATATCGTTGCTAAAAAATTATTAGTATCAGAATTGGAAACTAACCATTCGCCTATTCCTACATCCAAAAAAGAGTATAGATGGACCAAGTTCTGCACCATCTTCTTTAAGAACCATTCTTTCCTGCAAAAAACAATTAATTGTAAGTTATTTTCTTCTTTTTGCAAAATAAAAGAAACCCGTAAAACAGAAAGTAACAAACCTGTAGAAATCCTCTGAAAGGTGCCAATCCGGTCCCAGGTCCAACCATGATAATTGGAATTGAAGGATCTGCTGGTAGCTTAAAATTAGACTGCCTTATAAAAATAGGAGCCCAGCTACAATCATTGCTTTTCTCCAGAGGAACTGCATTCTGATTGTTTTCATTACAGTTTGGTGTCAAATGTCAGTAAAGCCTAAATAACGTCTCTAGCATATAACAAATACCAGCAAGGTTTGCATAAAAGACAAGACGAATAAATTATTAGAAAGAGCAGAGCAACAAAAGAGATATAAAACACTACCTTCATCCATGTAGAACACACACCCTGGTGAATTCTTCCAGTTGGAGTTGGACCATAAACTAAAGCACAAGTTACATGAACCCTGTTGGGTACAAACCTGCTCAAAGCAACCAACCTTTGTATAAATATTAGGCACAAGGTAATACTGCACCAGGGTAAAATAGACAGTATAAATTCAATAACCTAGGGGAGGATGAGATAGAATAATAACGAGGCTGTAAATGAGGAGCTATTGCAGCAAAAAATACACCAAGAGGAGGTTTTGCAGATGGGAACTCGGCCATAACTTCAAGAAGACTTCTCTGATTGCCAACAACCCATTGTGAGTACTCATCCTGGGCAAAAAGAGACATGTTTAAAAGGGTCAATAACAAGTAAACAGTAAGGAACATAAGAAACAAGAATATCAAACATGAACAGACAAAAGGAAGAAAACAACAGCAGCACTTATCAACCTTTCCCTGCGGTGATGATAAGAACTTAAGCCTTTCTGCTTCACTGGGTTCAGTGGCATGAGCAGCCAAGGCAATCAAAGCAGCCTGACCACAAACAGTTTTGAAACAAAGAAACCAATTACTTGAGAGAAAAAAAGCGACTGGAAGATAAGGCAGAAATCAGCAGTAAACTTTTTCCTTCAATTCAAGAAAAAAGAAATAGTCTGGATGGGGAGGTTTACCTTCCGTGGAGGGTTTAAGAGATCTGCATATCGTGCCAATGCAGTTCGAAGTGTACATGGACTGGCAAAAGGAGGTGGCAATGAGCTTCCAACGGGTGTACCATCCTCATTGTCAGTGTGTATAGAAAATATCAAATCCAGAGGTCGACCCAACAATTTTGCAGCTTCCTCAACGGTGTCGATGCAATTATCAGCATAAACACCCACATGATCTCCAGTTTCATAACTGGGACAGTTCAACTTATTAGTGGAAGAGTACAAGGTCATAAATCATAAGCCAAAGTTATATATTCTTGTAAAACAAAATCCATGGAGCCAAAGCAGCAATATTAATAATACTTACACAGACATGGTTCACAGAAAATCGATTATAGATTTACAGTAACAAAAATTACAAGCTGTGAACTTACATGATCCCAGTCCCTGATATGTCAAACTCCAAATGTATACAGGAGCGATCAGATTCAGGCTTGTGCAGCTCTCTCTGAACAGCAACATTAACCCTGTGCAGAAATCATATAACAGGAACCTCAGAAAGGAAATAAAAGCAGGAGGAGACGGGATTTGAAAACCATCACAATAAACCTCCTATTACCTGCATGGATGGTGGATGTCATATGAAGCATTCCCATTTGCCTTATTTGAGTAATCATCCTCAATATGCATCGCAGCAGGATCATGAATCACTACTCTATATTCAGGAATAGCAGCTGTATATGGGGTAGAGGCAGTCTTTTCCTCATCTTCATCTCTAAGCAATTGATCTAACTCTGGCCAAAGCAATTCTCTCCTAAGGGAGGAATTAAAAGATTACAATAAAAAACAATTAAATAAAGCTAAAGGAGTACAAAATATAAGTACTGTCCCAAGAGAACTCTATCATCACATCGTTAAGATCATGCTTCAGTTTCAATAAAAAAATGCAACAGAATCATCTATAGAGAACCTCTGAAAGAAGATTGCGTACCATGCAGTAAAATCATCTTCAATACATTGATCATCATCACCAAGACCAACATTGATAAGACGTTTAGCACCTGTTTCCACAAGAAAAAGCCATCCAGTTATCAATCATTCCTCAATTTGTTTGCGGTGAAATTAGATGCAAAGAAAGCATGGGACAAGCTATCAGCCATGTGTTTCCTTTTAAAGAAATGATATAGCTCAATCATGAAATCAATTTTCCTAACTCTTATGTTTGAAGCAATTTTAAGAGATACAATTGATATGCTTATATGTATGACACCCAAGAAACCTCGAGAAAATTTTCATCTTGAACCTCCAAATTTGCACCTGACCTTGAATTTTTTTTTACTCTGCTCAATAGTAAGAACAATGCCATCATTTAGATCAGAAGGGATGAATCTCAAAACAAGACAGAAAAATACCTTGTTCAGAAAGTTGCTCATCAAGCACCTTTGCTATCTACTTCCAAAAAAGACCACCAAAACAGATTACACAATTGTAAAGGAGAAAAACAAGCAAGCAAAGAAAATTAAATGATCTTGAGTGCCTTGTTCAGTGGTTGGGTCCTATGTCTCTAGATGCGGTTTACCTTATTAAAATGTTCATATTGACGGTTACCCAGACCAAAAACACCATATGTGAGTTGTTGAAGCCAAGGCTGCCTTTCATTTCTCTGAAGTAGAATAAAGCAGCATAGTTATGAGCGTTAAATAACAAAAAATGGCAAAGCCAGCATGATACAAAGTTTAAATTTGAATGTTCTTTTCAAGTAGCAACCAACCTCAGTAAACCATTTGTAAAATCTAGCAGCGTTATCAGTTGGCTCCCCATCTCCATAACTACAATCACACTCAACTATATTATTACCCCAGGCTGTATATAATGCCAAACGAAATAAATAACTAAGAATAGTGCCAGTAGATGCTAGAATCTATGAAATAAATAACCAAGAATAGTGCCAGTAGAAGCGAGAATCTATCTTACGTGGCCACCATGAAAAAGGCTAAAGTTTCCTTTCTGAGTTTCTCTTCATATTGATCATCATCCACAGCATAATCATCCTAACATGAGACATACACAATTTAATGGACATAATTGCAAATGCTAGAACATATCCTCAAGTATAGAAAACAAAGTAGCAACATGGTTCCCTGTACATTACCAGGTCAACGACTTTGACAGCTGCCTTCTCATATCTTGCCTTGATCTCTTCTGCTAAAGCCTGCAATATAAAATTCAAATAAAAAAATGAGCATTTAATCAAAATAGGCACCTCTGCCAATCGTGCAGCGCCATGTGCCAAGCACGCGTCACTTTTTTGCCAAGTGTAACAGCGACTAACAGAAAAAAAGGACAAAATTAAACATTCCTCAGGTAGCTAAATTAGCCACAGTTTGCAGCACTACCTAGAACTATTGATGCCACGTTTCTATCCCTAGTCAT